TTTGGGTAGGGGTGGGGTCTGGATTTATCTATTGAAAAGAGTAGGATATTGAAGTCACCCACTATTGTATTGACGTCTCTGTCTCTCTCTCCCTCCTTCCCTTATGTCCTGCAGCCTATATATATAATTATATATATATATATAGTATAATATATATATACACATACAATTATTATATCTTCTTGATGGAATATTCCCTGTGCCAATATGCAGTGACCTTTGTCTCTTCTTAACAATTTTAGCTTGAAGTCTGTTTGCTCAGATATAGCTATAGTTTCTTGCATTTGGGTTCCATTTGCTTGGAATATCATTTTCCATTTTTTCACTTTCAATCTACCTTTGCCAGGAGCAAATTGTTGGGTTTCTTGCAGGTAGCAAATTATTGGGTTGTGTTTCTTTTTTAATCCAACCAGCCAGTCTGTCTCTTAATTCTAGTATTAAGACCAATTACATTCAAGGTTATTATTGAAATATATGTACTAGTTCTTGTCATTCTGTTGTTTTTCTTCTTGTTATTTTGAATACATGTTAATTTCTTCCTCCTTTATTCATCTTAGAAGTTTGATGTGAATTAATCATATTTGATTCTTTCCTAATTTTCATTTGCTTGTATACTCTTCTAGTGACATTCTTTCTGTATGCTCATGATTGTGCTTATCTTGCTTCCTATTCTGTGTGTAAGATTTCTTCAAGTACATCTGTAATGCTGGTTTAGTGATCATGAATTCCTTTAGTTTATGGTTATCTTGGAAGGTCTTTTTTTATTCCTTGATTCTGAAGGATAATTTTGCTGGAAATAACAATCTAGGTTGGCAGTTATTTTCTTTCAAATGTTCAAATACATTCTTCCAGGCCCTCCTGTCCATTAGAATTTCCACTGAGAAATCTACTGTTATTCTGATGGGTTTGCATTTATAAGTGACTTGGAGCTTCTCCTGTGCAGCTTTCAATATTCTTTGTTTTGTACTTTTAGCAGTTTAACTATAATATGATGTGGAGAAGTTCTTTTATGGTCATGTCTTTTTGGAGTTCTAAATGCTTCATGTATCTGGATGTATCTTTTTTAAAAAATTGGATATTCTTTACTATTATTTCATTGAATAGGTTTTCAGTTAAAACCTTTAGCTTGTACCTCAGCTCCTTTCTCTGTACCAATTATCCATAGGTTTGGTCTCTTAATCTTGTCACATTATGTCTTGTTTGTCCTGTTCATAATTTTTACCATTTTAATTACTAATCTTGAATGTGAATATTTTCATCAACCCTTGTCCTTTAAAGCCTTTGATATTTTCTCTCTTCTACTTGGTCTAGTCTATTGGAAAGGTTTTCAATAGAGTTTTGTTATTTGACTTATGGAGCATTTCATTTCTGTGATTTCTGTTTGACTTTTTCATAACCTCTCGTTTTATTGAGTTGTTCTTTCATATTCTGTATTGTCTTTCTTAACTCAATCAGCTGTATATTACTTGTTCAACTGAATTTTTTAAAAGTAAATTTTTGAATTCTATGTCACCACATTTCATCCATTTCCAATATCTTTGACTCAATTATTGAAGAAAGTAATGAGAAAGTTCTTTCAGAGGAGTCATCTTGCCTTGTTTTTTTTTTTTTTGTTTCGTAATTCTCATATTACTATGTTGAAATTTATGCATCTATTGTGATTGCTCTCTCTTCTACATTAATATAAGGGTCTTCTTGGTGAGCAGCTTTCTCTTGAGACCTTGATCTCCAGTACCTTTACAAGAGAGGAGACAAACAAACAACAGTGAACAACAAAACAGAACCAAATTAGATACAGAAACACAGAAAACAAAATCTAATTAAAGAATAAAATTAGATAAAAGACATAATGAGAAATGAAAAAGAGAAACAACTCAGAAAATTCTTCCTAGCTACCAGAAACTATGGCTCAAGCCTGTAATCCTAACTACTTGGGTGGCAGAGATCAAGAGGATTGAGGTTTGAGGCTAGCCCAGGCAAAAAGTCCCCAACACCCCATCTCAACCATTGGCTGGATACAGTGGTTGTGACTGTCATTCTACCTGTGTAGGGAAGCACAAATAGGAAGGTCACAGTCCAAGCCAGCCCAGGCATAAAGCAAGACTTTATCTCAAGAATAACCAATGTAAAAAAGACTTATGGTGTGGTTCAAGTGGTAGCACACTTGCCTAGCAATTGCAGTGCACTCAGTTCAACACCCAGCACTGAAAATAATAACAATAATGATAATAGAAAATAAAAAAATTCCTCCTGGCTAAGACAGGTTGGTGATTATATAGGCTGAGTCCTGCCCTGAATTTCCCACTAAGCCAGACTGGCTGTATTCACTCCATGATTTTTTTTTTTTAATGTGCACACAATGGCACTGCTCCTTTGAGCTTTAGCAGAATGTGGGTCAGGAAGATATTAACTTGCTCCAGAGGTCCTCAAGTCTGTGCACCAGTGGCATGGCAAATGTCTAAGCCATGGAGTATCCCCTGATGCCTCAGTGAGCCAGTGAAGCAAACAGCCCATTAAGTTCTTTTTTTTTTTTCCTTTTATTATTCATATGTGCATACAAGGCTTGGGTCATTTCTCCCCCCTGCCCCCACCCCCTCCCTTTACCCCCCACCCCCTCAATACCCAGCAGAAACTATTTTGCCCTTATTTCTAATTTTGTTGTAGAGAGAGTATAAGCCATAATAGGAAGGAACAAGGGTTTTGTTGGTTGAGATAAGGATAGCTATACAGGGAGTTTACTCACATTAATTTCCTGTGTGTGTTACCTTCTAGGTTAATTCTTTTTGATCTCACCTTTTCTCTAGTTCCTGGTCCCCTTCTCCTATTGGCCTCAGTTGCTTTTAAGGTATCTGCTTTAGTTTCTCTGCGTTAAGGGCAACAAATGCTAACTAATTTTTTAGGTGTCTTACCTATCCTCACCCCTCCCTTGTGTGCTAAAGCTTTTATCATGTGCTCAAAGTCCAATCCCATTGTTGTGTTTGCCCTTGATCTAATGTCCACATATGAGGGAGAACATACGATTTTTGGTCTTTTGGGCCAGGCTAACCTCACTCAGAATGATGTTCTCCAATTCCATCCATTTACCAGCGAATAACATTTCGTTCTTCTTCATGGCTGCATAGAATTCCATTGTGTATAGATACCACATTTTCTTAATCCATTCGTCAGTGGTGGGGCATCTTGGCTGTTTCCATAACTTCAGCCCATTGAATTCTATCCTAGGGGCAGAGGGACACAGAAACTGAGCAACCCATCAGTCTCAGTCTTGGTGCTCTCAGATCTGGCCCTAGTCTTGCTCCTTGCTACAGATGATCAGGCCACTAACCACTGTGCCCTTCACAGCCTGCTCTCCATTACTTGAATTTCTCAGGGGTTCAGGGCCAAATCCCCCTTCTACACTACTCTCTTGTGGTTGTCTCACCTACTCAATACAGTAGGATTTCCCCCCAGGAGCCCTAGATTTTAATTGTTACACCTTTTTCTAATCCCCAGAGTAGTTTAGTCCCTAACTATAGGCTCCTTATGAAGATGCCTTTTGGTTATTTCTCTGAAAGATGACAGATAAAGCAATGGACTTCTTGTCTAAAGCTAGGTTGTCATGCAGAAGTCACTTTCAGACCAAATCCCCATACAGGATTTAAAGCTTGTAAGAACTGTGTTTCTGTGGCTTGAACTGCACTCTCCAGGCTTACACATGCTTATGGAGTTGGGTTCTGTCCCCCACGGAAGCCAGGGTTGGAATTCTGAACTGCTTTGTAACTTTCTCTGAGTTGCCTTTCTGCTTCTCTGTGCTTTTTAGCTTGTCCATCCACCTTTCTTGATTCCTGGTGCTTTTCTGTCCTTAGAATATAATTTCTTTGTTGCCATGACTCTTCCCACTCTGAGTTCAATGACTATTCACCATCTTACTCCAGAACCTGAAGGAATTTAATTGCCTTTTTTTAAAGATGACTTATATAATTTTATTTATCTTTTTAAGTGGTATTGGGGTTTGAACTCAGGACCTCACACTTGCTAGGCAGGCACTCTACCACTTGAGCCACTCCACAGCCATTAATTGCCTTTTTTTTTTAGTGGCATGCTAAAAAAAAAATGCACTTAAAAGTGGCAGGAATTTTATTGCCTTTTTTAAGATGACTTATATAATTTTATTGATCTTTTAGTGGTATTGGGGGTTTTGAAACTCAGGGACCCACACTTGCTAGGCAGCACTCTTACCACTGAGCCACTCCACACAGCCATTTTAATTGCCTTTTTTTTTTAGTGGCATGCTAAAAAAAAAATGCACTTAAAAGTGGCAGTCTTGTATTCAATTAAATACAGTAATAAAATAGATTCATTGTCATCTTTAGTACAGTTCCTAGACAGAAGAGCAAATCTGAAAAACAACCTCACTGAATAAATTATTTGCACTACTTGGAAAGCATTTCCAGTACAAAATGCCTCTCTGAACAGTTTCTAGCACTGCTGAACTCTTGATTTCATTCTTTCTCTCCTCATCAGCATTCTAGATAAAGGGAAATCTGTAAGGCTTGGATCTGGCACATGGGAGAGTGGCATTAGCATTTGCGCCTTAATTCCCATAGTGGACAGAGTGCAGCAGGGGAGAACCTTTCTGAGACTAGCCAGGGTTCTTCCTCGCATTTGGAAAAGTGATCACCCTGATGATGAGCTTAAGGCAAAAAATATGTTTTAAGTCCTAGAAATCTTTCATAGAGTGATCTAATGCTCTTGGTAATATTTCTCTCAAATAGTTTCTTTCACTTTTGGAAGTAGTAAATATTTCTATTCTTGTCGTTCTAGTGTAACAAATGAGGAAACATTTGTTACACTATATATAATCAAATATTTCTAACTTACTGTACATTACCTTACATTAAATGTTAAAGCAAGTTATTTAACCATGTTACATATTTTACTTTACTTTCATAAAACTTTTTTAGACTAAAAAAATTTAATAATTTGTTCTATTTATTTATTGTGCAGAACTACTGAAGAAGAAAAAATTTTGATGAAAAACTCCTCAGTGAAGAGACCAAGGGAGAACTTTTGCTTCCACCTATTCAAACTGAGATCAAAGGGCATGCCTCTGCTCCCTTCTTTGGAAAGGAAGAACCCTCAGTGGCTCCTACTAGCACTGGTAAAACCTTTCAGCCAGGATCCTGGATGCCACAAGATGGCAAGAGACATAATCAGTGAATGAACTATGTTAAAAATCATTTCATTTACATGGATATCACTATTTTAAGAAATAAAAATAATTTCTTTGTATTTTCTGAATGTACACTAGCCATGTATTTCATTAAGCTTAAGAGTTCATCTTCAGTATGTCTAATGTGAGATTATGAGCTGTAGAAGTGTAAATGCTTTTAAACTTAAATCCTAGACTTGATTTAGTCCTCATTCTGTTTATGAATTTGCTCAAATTGTTTTCCTTCCTTACATTACTAACTTGAGGTATGTCATGCAGCTATCAATGCTTAGTACATGCAGGATCCTTAGGCTCACTTAGGAATCACACACACACACACACACACACACACACACACACACTTTGTAGAATAAGGGTAAATAGTGAGCTCTCAAATGATGAAATATAAAAGAAGAGGTTCTTATTTCTGGAGAAGTACCCTATAAGATTCCAAAAGACTAACAACAAACATGAACTTGGATAAAACATAAAGAAAATTTAGATAAGAAAAAAAACCATAAAGATCATGATAAGGTGGCACAAAAGTAGCTTATGGTAGAACAGTGGCTGGAGTTTTAAGAGAAAAATTAGGACTAGTAAGAGATAATCCATCTTGTAAATGTGAGAGGAAAGTAAAGACAGAAATGGAATAACTGGAATTCCATGAGAACGAGAATTACTTTGGAAAAGAAAACAGGGATGAGTTCTCAAAAGCAGTATTTGAGAGTCAGTGGCCTTCATATGGAAAAAAATGTAGATCGATCACACAAATTATATACAAAAGTACATTTAAAAGGTCATATATATCTCCTGGAGTGAACGTTTTGAGTTTTGTTATTATTTTAATATAGTTTTTCTAAGTGTTCAGCATATAACAGGTGCTCAATAAGCACATTTTTATGCTCTGAAAAATATAAGGAAATCCTTGGCTAAGCATGAATTCTTAAAATCACATACTGATTTTAATTTTTTACTTAATAGCAGGCAAAAACTATAATTGCCAAAGAAATACTATAGAAAAATGTAACTTTTATGAAGCATTTATATAAGTGATCAAATGACAAAATGAGCATAACATATTGACAAAAAAGCCCGTAGATGATAATTCAGTATTTCAGCAGCCCTGCTAATACCAAGTTAAACACTGTAGGGCTGGGGATGTGGTGCATATGATGGAGTGTCTGCGTGATCTGAGTTCAAACTCCAGTACTGCCAAAAAAAAAAGTTGTCACATTACAAAGTGACTCTACATTTTATCAGAGACATAAAAGGAACTAGCCAGTAGGTAATATAAAAGGAGGTATAGTTTGTAGTATTGGGTTATGAATTGAGATTAAGATGCTCTTAAATACTGGATTATAGGGAAAATTGTAAATGTTTTAGCACACTAGAATGTTTCTGCCAAATTCCTATTGGCTTATTATTGCATTCTATCTCTATCTTTTGCAATGTTTGCCATGTAGTTTGTTTTTAAGTAATCTTAGCATACAGCAGAATTTACATTAATTTTTAGTTTTCATTTCAAAATACCTGTTTTTTACATAAGCAGAATAAGAAAATCTTAGCTTAGAATCTTTGTGGGAAAGTGCCTTATATTACAGTAGGATGGTCGTACTAGCCACTGTTAATAGTAGAGCATGCACCGTCAAGACAATTTTGAGGGTGTGGATGAAGTTTATAATCCATACATGCTCCTTTCCTCCACAATGGCATGGAGTAGGGCAACTGGTTGCCTGAACAGACTAAATGACCTACATAAAAAATCATCTATAATCTTGGCCTAATCAAGATTTACCCTATTTATTATTTATTTCTGTATTATGTATATAAACATTTGGTGGGAATGGGGTTTATCAGGGCTTCACACTTACAAAGCAGGTATTCTACCACTTGAGCCACACCACCAGTCCTTAAGATCTGCCTCTCTAAACAATTTTGGGAAAAAAAACCCTAGCCTTAAGAGCAGATACATGAGAAGCAGAATTAAAATATTAGCTTATCCACCATATTTCATTTTTAAAATAGCTATTATTTTGGCCACTTCCAAGTTTTTTATTATGAAAATGTATCTTTCCAAGACAGACTTCAAACCTATTTTTAAAAAAATTTTACACTCAAAGTAAAATGTTCTTCTTAATGTAATCAAAGGGTATCATACATACCTTATGTATACACTTAGAGCTAAATCCTTCCTGGCTTCCTGCATCTCTACTTACATCCATATAGCCTACTTTTGGTTTTCACAATAATGAGCTTAATATGCTGCTTCTAAAATGCAAAAAAAAAATGTTTCTGGTTCAAGAGTTTAACCACATAACTTAGCTGTGCCTTAGATATCTGAAGTTAAAAAACAACAAAAATGAAGGAAATAATCCTTTTCCATTCTTACTTTTACTAACAGATTTTCTGTCATTTAGTTCTTAATTAACCATCAATCAATATCACCGCATTGATGTTTTTTAATGAACCACGCTATTTAAAATATAATCTGGATTTATTTAGAGTAGGTTTTTTAAGCTGTTTGTATTCCTGGGGGAAGAAGGGGCAGGGGTGGAACATGAAGGAAGAGTCTGTAGCAAAATTAAATTAAGACTTCAAGAGATCATGCAGAAAAGAAAAGTCCAAGTTCTACTTGTTTCCAAAACTTTTGGAATCTGATAATGGAATCTCTTTTAATGTTTGAGGAATGCAGAATTTGTCTTTTATATTTATTCTAGATGTCAGAATGATACTATAACCAGAAACAAACATAAAAGAAACCATTCCTAAGTAGAATCAAAAGCTTACTTACTACAAAGAAATGTAAGTAAAAAATGCCCTTACACATCTGATAGCAGTAGTAGTACCATGAACACTATTGGCTTAAGAGAGAAGTATTCTGGGTAATAAGTAAATGGGATTCTTTCAATAGTCTACTTGTTAAGATGGACTTTTCTGAAGAATCTTCAGCCTCACAGCATTCTCTACTTTGTACCCCTGAAACACACACACACACACACACACACACACACACACTTTGCTGATCTCATGTCCCTAGAAGTACTCTATAAATGTTGGCAACAGAACCAATGAAACCACAGCTTTATGAGATAACTCAGACTTATATCCTGTTTCAGTACTTTTACTCCAATTCTAAAATGTAGCCATATACAAAACATATATATATATACATATATATGCATAAATTCTTTCCATGAATAACTTGACTACAGACACACAAACAAAGTTTAGATATATCTTAGCCTAGCTTCTTTTAAAATAGGTTCTGCAAGCCAGGTATGGTGATGCATGTCTAAAATCACACCATTTTGAGGCACAGGAAGGAAGATTTTGTGTTTGAGACCAGACTAGCCTATAGGAGGTCCTACTTCAAAAAAGGCCAGGTGAAGTGGCTCAAATCTGTAATACTAGCTACTTGGGAAGTAGAGATTGGGAGGATCAAGATTGGAGGCCAGCCAGGCAAAAAATATGAGACTCCATCTCAACTAATGGCTGAGTGCAGTGGCGTGCACCTGTCATTCAACTATAGTAGGAAGTACAAATAAGAGGATCATGGTCCAGGCCAGCCTGGGAATAAAGCAAGATCCTATTCAAAAATAACCAATGCAAAAATGGTCAGCAGAGTAGCTCTAGTGGTAGAGCACCTGCCTCTCAAGTAAGTCCTGAGTTCAAACCCCAGCACAGCCAAAAGAGAAGGAAAAAAAAAAGAGGCCTATGCAGACTCATCAGGGCCAGTAATTCTATATAAATTTTAATTTCAGTGATAATATAAAAAGTACATCATAGATCACCTGAATAACCAACTTAAAACTAAACACTGAATTACTTCCTATTTCAGTTCCTAGAGTTGCAATAGGTTGATTACACTGGCACAAAGCAAGAACTGCTAGCCTAAAAATAACAGCATTCAGTGCTGTTCCAACTAGTCCATAAACATTCTCAGGAGTCCTTAGGTTCTCAAATTTGAGAAACTCTCCTAAATTTACAAGTATGTTTAGCTATAACTAAAATTCATAAGCCTTTGAAAATTCTTACATTACAAACCTAACTTAAATAATCACTCTCCTCCCCCCCAAAAAGCCAAAACTCTTTATAAAAAAGTATCAAATTTATTTCAGTATCTAGTTTCATTTTTAAATTAGAGCTTCTATACAATTACTGTAACTTAGAATTCATTGTCTGAGGTGCAGAAAACATTAATAAGCTATTAAAATACTGCAGTGAATAAAATTACTGGACCATGCATTAAGAAAAGTCATGTTTAACAGTCAAAAGTTCCAGTTTTACTAAACTGATTCTTTAGCTCTGTATTTCTAATTATAGCACAGTCATTTCATCTAGTTTGTGCAATCACTACTACACCCATCATTTTTTTTTTTTTTTCAAAATTTAAGACTTTCTTTACCACTTAAGAAGTATGACTTAACTCCTTAGGAATTCTTCAAAAGAAATCTGAATTTTTAATTTTCACCTGAAACCTGTTTCATCAAAAATATGGTATCACTACCACAAGATAAAAACAAAGAACAGAATTAAAACAAAAGTATTATCTATATAATCAGCAAATTTTTTGATGACTATTTCAGAGTTCTAGTTAGCTCGAGAAAAAAATTGATTCCAGGGTATTACAGCATTTGGCATTTTTACTGCAAGCTTTAAATCATACTATTACTCTTCTCAACAACCCATCTAAGAAAATGGCAGTGTTCAGAAGTACGAAAATTGTTATATCCAGTAGGTGGCATTTTACATATTCAAGAGATTCAAGATATTCAAGAGAAATCTTTATAAAAATTAAGTTGGAAAATGCAGAGTGTCTTCATAATTACCAGTTGACTCAAAGACTAATGTAGGAAAAATGCAGAAAACAGATGTACTCATTGATTAGTATCATTTTGCTTGGAGAAAAACAGAAATTATTCCATTCCAATAAGCAGTAATGATAAAAGATGTGATTAATATACTGTATCTCTTAAGCAAAAGCAAACTTTTCACCTCAGAGAGAGCAATTCTGAATTATACATTCTTAATATCCTTTGTCCAGAAGAGGACAAAGGATTCTGTTCCATTTTAAATCACTATTCGAGTAGAGTTTATAATCAAAAGTACTTTTTCTCCAAAGGATGTTTCATTTCAATATATAAGATGCAGTTATAAAGAATACGTGCTACAGGTTGAGTATCCCTTATCTGAAATGCTTGGGACCAGAAGCATTTCAAATTTTTTTCAGATTTTGGAATGTTTGCATATACATAATGATACAGCTTGAGAATGGCAGCCAAGTCCAAACACAAAATTCATACAGTATTATCAGTGCACCTGTGTTTCGACTGCAACTCATGATGAGGTCATGTGTGGAATTTTCCACTTGTGACATCATGTTTGTACACAAAAATTTCTGATTTTGGAGCATTTTGGGTTTTGAATTTTCAAATTGGGGATGTTTCACCTATATGATGATAATTTAAAATAACTGCCAACAGATACCAACAAACTTTTATACTCAAGCCTAAAGGTTATTACAGTATTGAGGTCAGAACTGAAATGATTCTTCCATATTGTCAGATTTAATTTACTAAGTAATCCTATTGTGAAATCCAAAGACCTTAGTGAGTCCTTCCAAAGCTGTTTGATTTTCCAAATGATTCTTCTCTGGTTGCAGATCCTGTTCATTCTTTCAATCCTTTTTTAGTCGTTTAGCTTTTGCAATATTTTCTTGACGTTTTTGTTTCTTCTTTTGTTCCTTCTCCCTGGCTTCAATCATCTTGGCCAATTTCCAGGACAGTACGGCACTTGCTAGGAACAGTGGAGTGAGGGCCAAAATAACTGTTGTAAGGAAGCCATATGGGTCCTTTGCAGCCCATTCCACAACATACTCAGCCCAAGCCTTTATGTCAAACATCTTTGTAGCAGCCTTAGGAAACTGGGGAGGCAAAGGGACAACAGGACAAAGACTACATGGTTAATCGAATTCTGAAAGTTTTATTACATAGTTAGCTCTGAATTCTATTATCACTTGTTAGTTTTTAAGCATTAATTAGTAGTAATCAGTGCTAATAGCTCCAGTTAGGAAAAAATAATTTAGCTAGGACAACCAGAATAGTGACACTTAAAAGATGAAAATTTATAGAAAAGTAAAAACCACTAGGACTGTGTCATAAGGACTATGTGTTTTCACATGCTTTCTATATTCAAGACAAATTTTACTTACCAGACTTTTACAAAGATCTTGAATCTGATACATTAATTTCAGGAAACAGCTGAATCCTGTGTCACTTGTTGACATACCCTTAGTACTACCAAGTACTAATTAACAAAAGTACAAATCAAATTTCATGTTTGAAAAGGACAAGCCACAGATTACGAGAAATGCTCTCAGAAAAAGGAGGGTGATGGATGGCTATTTCCAGGAATGGAAAAAAAAGAGTGTAAGAAAGCCATGCTATCCACATTCACAAGCCAAGAGGCATAAGCAAAAGTAATGTGCCATTTTTTGCCCTTTCAGCTTTGAGGATCCCTGCTGCAATAAATATAGTTTGATCAATGAGAAAAGCAGCCATGACAAGTGCCATGCATTTTGTTCCTTTTGAGTTGATAAGGGAAAGTTATCTGGCAAACAAGAATGTTGTGGACTTAAGCAGCATTTTCTATTTTGCCCCAGAAGAGGGCTTTCTTACCTTTCCTGTTTGTGTCGAACCCTACTCAGACGTTAATGGAATTAGAATACCTGGACAGGGAATGGGTGCAAACAGTGACTTAAAATTTCAGGTGGGATGTAAAAAATCCTCTACCTTATGCTTGAGTAGTGATCTCTAATTTTGTCCTGGGATTATCAGTGAGCCAATCACAATTTCAGATGACCCTTGGTTGGTGTCCTCTTCTTTAGTTCTATCATACACTTCTGAGAGGTTTAAATTCTATATAGTGGTTGAATTAAAAAGAAAAAACACTTAAGTCACAACTTTCAGAATTGTAACAAAATGTTAAATGGAAAAATTCTAAATTCTCCATATGGAACATATAAATGATATATAAAATTGCCTGTCAACTCTAAGTTTTTAAGACCTATTTCTTCCCATTTGAGTTTACCACAACTGCAAATGCCCTGCAATAAAATCCTAATCACAGCAGGGTATAGTGGCATGTGCCTACAATCCCAGCTACTCGGGAGGCAGAGATCGGGATGATCATGGTTCAAGGCCAGTCTGGCCAAAAAAGTCAGAAGACTCCCATCTCAACAAACAAAACAGTAATGGTGGTACACACCTGTACTCCCAGCTACTGTGAGGCCTACGTAGGAGGATCCGGGTCCAAGACCAGCAAAAAACACTCAAGACCCTACCTAAAAAATGACTAAAGCAAAAAAGGACTGGGGCATGGCTCAAGTGATAGAGTACCTGCCTAGGAAGCAGAATGCCCTGAGTTCAACCACAGCAGCAAAATAAAGTAAATCCTCATCAATGGAAATTATGTGTTTTACTAAATGCTACTTGACTTATAAAAACAAGCTGGCTCACCGGTTATGCATATCATATCCATAGAACTTGAACGTTTTATATTTTTTTTAAAGTTGCCATTCATTTACTCATTCAACTAGGTATAAATTACAAAAGCAAATACCTAGCCTGACTCCTTAAAGGCTGTGTTGTCTATTGTACATTCGTGTCCTTTCTACGGAAACAAGACGACAACCAAAACAAATGATACATTACCCGACATTCGCATCACCTCAAGCAAGCTACCACTGGGTTCCTAGGGTTTCTTCCTATCTTCAACTGAAGACAAATGAAAGTGCCTTAGATCTTATCCACCCCAGCCCCAGTTCTCAACGTCCCCAGTCACACTGTAAACAGGGTCTCTGGAGATCGAGTCTTCTCCAGCCCAAGAATGAACTAATGGAAGGGCCAGAGAGATAAGCAAAAGAACTTTGCAAAAAGGAGTAGAGCGGGAGCGAAGGACCTGCTTTATGGCAAAGGAAGGAGAGACGGTTGGTCCCCAGCCCGCCCATGCGGCGGGCCCCTCGCTCCTCGCCAGGACTCCAGCCTCACTCACTTTCAAAAACAGATACGCTCTTTTCCGTCAAAAACGCCAGCGGGGCTCCTTAGGCTGGGCCGAGGGCCAGGCCTCCAGCCTCACCCTGGTTTCCCCATTTGCTCAGGGCCAACTCCTCCGGCTCCCTCTTCCTGCACGCCCGCCCGGGGCAGCCACACTCGCTCCCGCCCCGGCCTCGGCGAGCGCGGGCCGGCAGGGCTCGCAGAGCCGAGGCCCGGAAGCACGGCGCCACCCGCCACACCCGTCCGCCCGCACGCTCGCTTCGGATGAGCGCAGGCAACCCGGGGCCGCAGCCATCACCAGCCTCTCCTATGCCCCAGGGGTCCGACTCCCACTCCCAACTCACCGCCGGACCGGAAGCAGGCAGGAGGAAGCTGCGGCCGTCACGCCCCGCCCACCGTCCGGCCGGGCCGGGCTCCGACAGGGTGTGAGGAAGTCGAGAGGCCAGCTTCCGGCTGCGCCATTGATGTAGGTCCGGGGCCCGGCTGCGAGCACGCTGGGGGCGGGGGCGAGGGCGAGGGCGGGGGCGACGCGGAAAGTTACGGGGAGCAGCAGGTGAGGCCGCGGGGGCTGGGCATTGTGGCCGTGCTCCTGCGGTCGGAGTCCCAGGCTGGGGACAAAGTGGGAGGGCGTGGGGCGGCCTCGGGAGAGGCCCTGAGACTGCTGGGCTTCGCTCCCGTCCTCTGCTGGAGCCGCACACCTTGTGGGGTCCCGCTAGGTGACGACTTTGGCCGCGGGGATCTCAGGCCAGGGAACCTCAGCTAGAAAGGAGGCGGTCCTCATGAACTGCCCCAAGTGAAGGCAAGGCCACATGGCCACCTGGAAGGACCATGGCGACCTCACCCTTGCCCTTCTTGCGGCTGGGCCGGATCTGCCGAACCTAGTTGACCGGGGGGACCTGTTGTCATGCTGTGGGAAAAGGGCTTTTTGTGGTGGTTTGTGTTTCACTTAAGAGCCTAACTCATTTCACGAAAGAGTGAACGACACTTGCCCAAAGTAGACTTGATAAAGAAATAGGGCGTAGGGTTCCCACCGAGGACCTTGTTCTTTCAGTCCACACGTAGAGGGCTGCAGAAATCAACAAGCTGAAAGAACGAGTTCATAGTGTCTTCTAATCGACAGGAACTGAAAAATTAGCTCCGGTTTGGTTGGTGCACACATTTTGTGATTGCCTGTACTCAGTTGCTTGCACTGTTTGACTACTTCTGGCAAATGTCGCAAGACCTCTGCAGTCTTGTGCGCCAAATAAAGCAAGTTTTTATTCTTGAGAGTATAGAATGTTCTCTGTGAGGAGCAAGCTCAGGCATGTACAACTAGTTTAGGTATAACAACAGTAACTATTATATTTACCAAGGAACAGACTTTTGGCAGGTAATCTAACGATCTAAAATATTGCTTGCTGGGCGTATGTTAAAATGTTTGTATGTTGTAGTACCAGAATTTGTTTTCTTACTCATTCTTTTTTGAAAACCTGGATGATGATTTAGACCTAGCCTATACCTGAAGTAGCCAGAACAAGCAGACTCATAACTGGATTGTGTTACTGAAAATTTTACTTGCTAGAGTTAGCTCTGATTTCTTAAGACTTGCCCAAATAGTGAATCCAGGATTAGGGTCAGAGTTTATTCTTTTAATGTCTTTCACACTCCAGAGGCCAATGTGTGGGTGTTTTATTTTAATCTTGGATAGACAGTTTTCCCAAGTACTGCCTCCCAGGAAACTGCACTGCTACATCTCTGGTTAAAGGTACAGGAATGTGGGGCACAAAGAAAAGGTGCATAAGGAGGAAGCTTTGGTAGTGCTTTGGCTGTAATCCAGACCATGACTTTACAACTAATTGCTGGTCTGAGTTCTAGTTTACAAGAAAGGCTGCAAGCCCAAGAGCAGCATAGGGGTTGTCACAGTGAAGCTCCTTACTGCAATCTGCATTGCCTTAACAACAGGTAAGATTGGTCCCCACACTGGACTACTTGAGATAGTGAGGCGTCTTAGCTTTTGAGTCTCAGTACTGATCTCTATACTCTTACTTTGATAATGCACTCTGAGCCTGTTTCCTCTTGTATATGTAGAAAGCATCCTAGGTGATTGCTAATGACCTTTCAGCTTTACAGTCCGTAAATTGGACTGTACAACAGCAATATGGTAAAGTGTTTGGTAGAAACACCATTGCCAATCTTCTGTTTTACTCTGAAAAGATCAGTAACCTGGTTTTTATTCTCTCTCCGAGGTCTTTCAGAATACCATTTTTAAATAACAAGGAAATAAGTTCTCCTTTATCTTTAAGAAATACTATTCGTGTAATTTAAGCAAAGTAGTAAACCTTACACTATTATCCTACCCTACACTATCTGCCTTTGAGTAGTTTCTGTGTAGCATATCATACTGGCAGCCCAATCAGCGCTTGAGTATTCTACTGCAGTTGTGTTTTGTAAGGGAGCCTCAGTGCCTGACAAAGTTGTGTCACTGTTTGCTTTAAAGTCCTTTTCCCTTGAAAAGTACAAAGTTACATTTCACTTTCACCCATTTCCAAATTGTAAACAAGTGAAACTTGAATAAGATTCTATTATAATAATTACTCTTGATTAAAAACTTTGGACACACTGCTCACCTGCACATGTACAAACTTCTCTACATTACCTTCACTTATTTATTTTGATGGAATTGGTTTCTTTCTGAGTTTTCATTAGTTTTTTTTTCCCTTCCATTGAAAATACAAATACATTTCTAAGTAGACATACGTATGTGACATTAAGAAATAATCTGGTTTTAGTTTATTTAAAGTTCATGCTGAAGAATAATAATTTTTAAAGCAGATTACTGTTTTGTATGTAACAGGTACTGAGCTTCTCAGATGTTACCACTAATCCTAAGACCAAATAACCCCTCAGTATTAGGTTCTTATACCCATTTTACAGGTAAGGAACCAGAGACTTAAAGAGTAAAGCAGGATTCTAAACACATCTTGCCAAAATCCTTCCTTGTTTGTAATGTTCAAAGGCTTGGCAAAAGGACTTATTTCATAAAATGAAAGTGTGTTTTCTGAGTCTAATTGTTTTTAACTGCTAATAGCTAAAATTCCTCTTCAAAATTGCCTATTGCCCAGGTGGTGGCAGCACGTCTCAAAGAGCTGGGAAAGGTTTTCCCAACCTTGCCAGTTGATTTGCTTCCTCATCCCGCATGTGTAATCTATCACTTCTGTGCTGGGCTCTTTCACTAGTATAGAATTCTACTGATCCAACGGGTTCATCGTGCCCTTAGCCTCGTCTTCTTAATTATCAAACTCTCCCAATTTCCTTTCAGCTTGTTTACCAAATTGTTTCCTAGAAAATTTTATTTGGGCCTGTCCAGTAAAACAAAGGAATTTTTTTCAATTATAATTATTTTTAACTGCTATCATTACTTGGGCAAAGCACCTAGGTTAAGTATTAATATTACTAGGAAATACTTGTTTAAATTAGCATTCTTAAACATACAAATACACCATGAAGGAGGTAATGAAAAGCTTTTAAAAGATAGACTTTTTCCTCAGAATCAGAATATTCAGTAGGGAGCAGTGCAAGGTTATATAATTCACAAGGAATGCATGTAAATACATAGCAAAATAACCTTTAGTTAAAAATTGCTTGGAACATTCTTCTCATATCTTTGTAGACATTGCTTTCCTAGAGGTTTCAAATCAAGTGCTGCCTTCTCACAAATGGCCTCCTCCTACCAATTGCTTTTTTCCTTCCCACAGCACTTACTTCATCCTGGTATTTTACTTGTTTACTGGTTTATTGTCTGTTTTCCCACTAGAAAGTAAACTATTCTGAGATCAGTTACCCTCAGAAGAAAAGGTCAGATGTTTGGGGAAAGTTTTAAATAACTGTGGTTATATCATTAATGAAAGAAGTCTAGTTACTTAATGATTTCCAGGTATGTAAAATAATTTATAGGAAGGAAAGTAGTGATTCATCATTTTCATTGATAAAAGGAATTAGTACTGGACTGAGAATTATAGTTGTGTAACACCACGCCTGGCCTCAAGATACCTCTTATTTCAGCACTGGATTCTCCTTGCCATCAAACAAGAATTGCAGAAAACTAGTCCATGTATAGTATAAAAAAATTGTAGTGCAAAAGCAGCTGCTAGCACCATCACATTCACCAAGTAGCATCTTCATTTCAGCCTTCTGCTTTCATCTAAGCAAGCTGCCTGAAATAACCATACAAAACATTTTAACTGCATTTTCTATATGTTATTGTTAGGGACATTGTCAGACAGTGCCCTTTATATTAAAAAGTCTCATCTAAGATATTTTAGAATGTGATTCTAGGAAAAATTTTTGGAAGCCACTTTTTTCTTTTTTTTTTTTTGACAGTACTGGGGATTTAATTCAGGGTCTTATGCTTGCACTCTACCATTTGAGCCACACCCCCAATCTTTTTTGCTTTTTAATTTGTTTTTCAACTAGTGTCTTTTGCTTTTGCCTGGGCTGGCCTCAGATCATGATTGTCCTTCCTCTACCTCCCAAGCAGCTGGGATTATAGGAATGAACCACTCATACGCAGTTTGTTTTTGAGATAGGGTATTGCTAACATTTTTGCCCAGACTGTTCTCAAACCAAGATCTTCCCAATCTCTGCCTCCCAAGTAGCTGGAATTCCAGGTGTATGCCACCATGCCTGGCCTGGAAGCACTTTTTGACAATGAGAATTGTGTTTCTTTGATTCGACTGTCAGGAAACCCAAGAGCCATCCTAACTTCACATATGCTAAACATGTACTCTACCACTGAACAAACCCCTGCATTTCTTTCTAAATATATTTTTCCTAGAACAGGTATCCTATATTGTTACTGTATTTGTTTATGTAATAGGATGACTTGAATCTTTTATTAAATAAGATGGAGTATGGTTACCTACAGGTAAAAGTATTAGAAATTCAGAACTTTATAGACCCCTGATATGTAGCAAGTAGCTAGCTACTGGCTTATCAAATTCCTTCACTGAACTTAAATTTTATGTTTATCTTAAAATCTCATTTTAGAACATTGGTTCTCATTGAAAACTTAAGGGCATAGGATGTCATTTGGAACTGCATCCAAGTGTCTAATTCTAAAAGCTGTATCCTCAGTATCCCTCAGAGTATAAAGTATATATTTAGAATCTAGTTTAAAAAGTGAAGAAAAATTTATTGGTGCTAGGCTATAAATATAGTTCACTAAATTATCACAGACATCCTGGTCCCAAATTCTTGCTTTTGCTGAGTTTACATTTTATGTTCTTAAGTTTCCTTAGTCAGGAAGTGAAACAGTCTGAAATTCAAAAACTCCATTCTGATTCATGTGACCTCTTGAAGAATAATTAGTAATA